CAAGTACTTTTTCAGTCTCTGTTTAAATCTAGCCTGCTACCATCCCACAGGCCCAACAATTGGAAGGCTGGGCCCAGAGTCCGAGGGGGAAGGTTTCCAGCTTATATAGCAAAGAGTAAAGAAGTGAGGACATTGTCTTGGCCCCAGTGGATAATTGGATTTTTCTCAAATCTCCCCCTAGGGTACTGAGCAGGGCCGTCTAGAGATCTGGCTCATGGGTGGCACGAAGGGTTGGTTTCAAGGGGCCACAGTGTGATATTGCTCAATACAGGTAAAAGTACAAAGAGCAGGAAGGGGGAATACAAAGCCATGTCTGTAAGAACTACCAGAGATGAGCTAAGGAGATCAGGTACTAACCTCAAGGCCGAGTCCAGAGCACGGAAACAGGAGCATCAGATGGATGTCAGAGCAGAGAGTCAGGGGACTATTTGTGAACAAGTCTCAATGAAGTGTGTCCAGTAAAAAGAAGTGCCAGTGTTTATTCTTGCTGAATTATCTGCCTGGAAGAGGCCCCAGACTTGGGCCAAGTTCCCTTGACATAACAATTCTCCTCTGCTTCAGAGGTGAGCCATGGGGTTGGGGCTAGGAAACAAAATGGATGTTACAGCTCTTTTAGGGAGAGTGGTTCCCACTTCTGGGGTTGTCTTGGGGCCAAAGGTTCCTGGGGACCTTCCTTTGGGCTTGGAGTAACTCAGGCCTGAAGTGTTCCCTTTTGAAGCTACTTTTCATCTCCCACGCCACATGCAAGAAGAATGTTATGTTCACCTCTGTGGAGGCAGAGGAGAGGGCACCTCCCTGGGCCAGCTGTGTCATTTGCTTTACACACATTTTCTCGTTTTATCTTCATAACACGAAGGCCAGTTGCAGTGTTCCTATTTGAAGGTGAAGAAATCGAGGCTTCGAGTAGGCGAACCACTTGCTGAATATCACAGAGCTCAACTCTAAAGGCCAAGCTATTTCTGTATCACTCTGTAATGCTGACCTTTTACAGTGTCCACGTCACATAGAACTTCTACTTTACCCTCTGTGGACGGACCCCATCAGCCACTCTACCTTGTGACCCTACCCCACTGGCCACAGCCGATTGGACCAGGGATGTGCCTCCAAACCAGAGAAGGCCCTTCAGTCTCTTCCCTGGGAATTGGGAATTTTCCATGTGCTTTTGGTGTTATAGCTATTCATTCTACATTTGGCTCTAACTATTTCCTCCCTTTTCTCATTTACCTAGCTATCTAAACTTCAAACTTTACATTCTTATTTTATAGGTTTATCTATTTTATTTTAATTCACTTAATTAGGATTTTATCCAGTCTTTTTTCCTCCTTTTTAGGTACATTTGGAATTTATAATGGCTAGTTTTAGGCTTTATTTCAATCACTTAAAAGTGGTTTTACATTTTCAAACTCATTTCTCTTGAATTTAAATATTTTATTTTTAAACATTATGCCACTTTCATTTTTCCTTAGTTATAGAGGGTCTTGAATTGCGCTCCTGGGTCAATTCCTGGGAGCTCCATGAGTACCACACTCTTGCCTTTCCCCCTCCCTACTGCCTTCACCCCACATAAGAAGTGACAGTCTGATCCATGAGTGTACAGAGCAACGTGTGTCAACCAGTCCCTTCCACTCGTCTTCCCCTGTGGACTTGGCCTGTCTGCAGCAAGCACGGGCTCTGGACCACTCTTGGCTGTGCTGTGTGCTGAGTGATGGGGATGCTGCTCTGTGGGCGAGGTCCCAGGTAGTCCGGGGGCTTCTGTGACTGGGCTGGTAAGTCTGTCTGGTTGTGAGGTTCAGAATGAGGAATCTCTCTTGCCCAGAGATCTGAGCCACTTTTTCCAATATTGGCTTCTCCAGGAATAAGATGAGATTTTGGTTTCCATCTTTTGTCTTCTCAATAGGTTCTTAATCAGGCCTCTTCCAATGCCAACATCTGGCATATTTGTGCAGGAACTTTGAGAATGAGGCAGGAGAGATTCGGGCATTAAATGGGAGAGCCCCACAGTGGGGCCAGGGCATGTGTCTTTGGACATTACTGTGTGGGCACTTGTGTGTCTGTCATGAGAGCATTGTCTAGTTTCTAGTGAGGCCCAGTTTGGAATGGCATCTGTGCTCAGCTCTCCAGACCTTGCACGAGTTTAACAGTTTTGCTCCCTCTGTTGTGTTTGGTCAGTTAGGCGTATCAACCATCAGGATATCCCAACCCCGACCTGGGATGATAAGCATTGATTTTCTATCCAGGTCCAAGGCAGGTTGACCAGAAATACCAGGATGCTTCTGCATCGACGTTCCCTCTCTGGTCCTCCTCCCCACACATGCTAGTTATGTTTATCAGTCTTGGAGCTCCAGATTGCAACTTATTCTATAGAAATGTAGTGGGCTTTTTTATCAGATTAAAAAGAAAAGGGGGCTTCTGTTTCCTTGGAAAAAAGACTGTATCACATGTGTCTTCGTCTCAAGAATTAGGCTGGCCCCAAACTGTGAGGACCTGGAGCAGAGATGGTGTGCCGCAGGATAGTTTAGATGGTTTAGATAAGTGGCTCTCAGCTCTTCCTGTGCATTAGACTCTGGACCACTTAAAAAAATACCGATGTCTGACCCTCACCCCTACATTTTGATTCAAATGATTGGGGGTAGGCCTGGGTCTTGGTGTTTTTGAAAAGCCCCTCAAACGATTCTAAGGTACCGTCAGGACTGAGAACAACGCTTTAGATGAACAGAGGATGGTGCCTCAGGCAATAGTGGGAGATAAACTAGGGAAGGACTGACTGTGGGGCTCTTGTGAGGTTCCAGGAAATGGCACCCCTCTTTCCCTTCTGAGTTCTAAGTAAACTGGGGCAAGGGTTAAAACAGATAAGAGCTGAGACATAAACTGTGTTGAAAAAAGCTAAGTCAGAGTATGTAGCTTAGGATGAGAGCCAAAGGATCTGCTAACTGAGCCCCACGGCAATCAGACATACTCACCTAGTCCAAGAGGAGCTGGACCACCATCACCTCCTCTTGCAGGGACAACGCCTTTAACATTGAGCTTACTGCATGGCTGCGGGCATCAACAAGGCACGTTTCCTGTGGGCAGGCTGGCCTGTGAGGGAGGGAGGGGCTATGATACTCAGACCCAGTTCCTAATCCAAACTCACAAGTCAGGTAACTGAATCCACCTACTCAACTAGTCAGGGCTATTTGGAAAAAATCCCTCCTCATAGAAACTGGAAGAATGGGGAAATGGTATTCCTTTCTAACTCTGGGGAATGAAGATGAGGAACATACCTCAAAGAAAACACAAGTTTTCAGAGGCAAAACAGACCTATATGAAAGGGAAAATGGAATATCTATAAGGTATAGCCTTTATAACTGCTTTTCAAAATGTGTTTGTACCAGTGCAATAGGGCAAGAAAAAGGAAAAAAAATGGTCTAAAGATTGAAAAGCAAGAAATAAAACTGTCTTTATGTGCAGAAAACAAGATTGAATATGTAGATAATGCTAAGAAATCTACAAAAAATCTACCAGCACTAATATGCAAATTTATCAAGGTCATGGGATAGAAAGTCAATATACAAAATTAATTATGTTTCCATATACTGGCAACAGTTATTAAATATTAAATTTGATATTAAAATAATGAAAAGCAATGCCATTTATAATAACATCAGAAAGCATAAAATACTTGGAAAGTATTTGAACAAAAGATAGGCAAGACCTTGACACTGAAAACTACAAAGCATTGCATGTAAAAATTAAAGAAGACCTAAATAAATGGTTAGATGTACTGAATATTGTTAAAATGTCTTTTCTCCCCAGATTGATCTATAAATTCAATGCACTTCTAATCAAAATCCCAAGGGGCCTTTCTGTTGAAATTGACTAGCTGATTCTAAAATTAGACAGAACTGCAAAAGTCCTAGAATGGCCAAAACAAAGAGAAAACAAAAGTTACAGAATTTACACTATCTAATTTTAAGACTTACCATAAAGATACAGTAATCAAAACTGTGGAATTAGCATAAGGTTAGATAAATAGGTCAACGGAACAGAACAGAGAGTCTAGAAATAGACTCACATGTAAGTATATGGTCAATTTATTTTCAATAAAGTTGTCGAGGTAATTCAGTGGGAAAAGGAAAGGTCCTTTCAACAAAATAAAAATAAGGCTTGACCCTTACCTCACACCATACATAAAATTTAATTTAAAATGGATCATAGACCTAAACATAAAAGCTAAGACCTTAAAGCTTTTAGAAAAAAACATAGGAAAATATCTTCAAAACTTTGAAGTGAGCCTAATTTCTTAGGACACAAAAAGCACTAACTTCAAAAGACAAAATTGATAAATTGGACTTCATTAAAATTAAAAATTTCTGCCCATCTAAGGACAGCATTTAAAAAAATGAAAAGACAAACCATAGACTGGAAGAAAATATTCATGATACATATCTCTGACAATAGATCTCTATACAGAATATATAAAGAATCTTCACAAGTCAATAATAAGTGATTAAGAAAGGTCAAAATACTTGAAGAGACACTTCACAAAAGAGACGCACAAATCCCCAGTAAGCATATGAAAATGTGCTCAACATCATTAGTCATCATCAGGGACCAGCCAATGGGTGGTAACAAGGAAGTTTAGAATTATAGAGTACTAAATAAGATATCTTCCAGTTGCCAGGGTACCATATTCCCAGAGACATTAGCAAAGGTGGGATCTTGGACTAAGTCATTTACAACCTTATTTGTAGCAAATGGGTTCTAGTTATCACTACTGAAGAGGAACATTGATTTAGAACCAAAGTAGGCAATGGGCATGGAAGGTTGCATCCCAAGGCTTATAGATATCTGTCCAAGTTTTCTTACATTGTCCACTTTGTCCATAGACATAAGAAGGAAGCCATCAAAGGGATGCTGAGTGACAGAGTGGTTCAGAATGTTGAAGACCTCCTCTAATGTCCACATCATTGGAGCAAGATCAGAAATTGACCAACAATGTCCTTGGGACATTACGAAATGTAGAGTTGAAAGGAAATGGGGGAAAAGGCACTACTGGATTAGTTTACAGTGTCCTATATAGGATTCAGTTCTCTCCTGGAGGGAAGATGGTAGATTATGATGGGTCCAAGGTAAGTGGATCAGGGCTGGTAAGGAATCTATTGTGAATTTGTGCCACACTGCATAAGATGAAACACCAGCTTTGGCCTCACCAAATGTTGGCTATACTTTTGACCTCCCAATAAAATCTTAGTATTCCACTATTGGCCTAATCAAAACATACTGGAGAGACCGAAGACCTGGGGCATCTGCCTCTTGTTATTTCTATGTCTACAGGTTAATGATGGGTGGTATAAAAAGTCCTTTTTGATGTGGATGGGTGGGCACTTAGAAATTGGTACTTGCTTTAAGGAGCAGAATACTCAGATCTGCTCATGCCACAAATCCCTCCAACCACTCCAGGGGGTGAGTTTTACAAGGGAAGGTCAGTGGCAACCACTTTGTCTGATGAACTCTTTTCCTCGGATCCTCCATAGATTTCTTTGAAAGAGCCACAAGATCTTATAAGCAGGAGAATATTATAGATATATCACATAAATGTCTGTGTCATAGGCAAACAACAGCTTGTGACTCACCTGTTGGTTGGGGAAACTCAGTTAGATTGAAAGAGATTAACAGCACGATATACTGAGAGAAGTTCAAAATTTGATGAGAACATTAGGTTTTCAGGAAATGGGGCAGGTAAAACATGGTCGGGAGTAGATAGCAATCTCAGACACTGGTAATCAGCCCATGAGGCCAAGCTGACCACCTTGCATCTGCGTTATTAGAAGGAAAGGGGAATTGGCCATAACTATTGTCACTGATGCTGAATATGTATTCAGGGGAGCAACACAGCTCTTGCAAGGATGACTTGATAACATTTTGGAGCCACTGATGGACCTGGGGTGAATCACTAGCAGTGGTGGAGTATCTTCACATTCTTGGTTAGTACGAAGACAAGGGTCTAGTGTTGAAGATTTGAGATCTCACTGAGACAGACCTTTGGCTCAGGGCAGCCACATCGTTGATGAAGAAGCTGCTACTGTGCTTGGAGTCAGGGCCCGAGCACAATATGTTCATTTCCTCTTGGGAATTTGGCAATGGAAGAAATTTTACACCCAGATTTGGGGCATGTTTATATTATCATATTATTATTGGCTTCTCTAAATGTTGTGTGGTCTCAGTTGTAGAATCTCTGATAAGCTATGTCAGACAATATGGTTGGACGTAATTTCAGGTGGGACACGCAAGACAGAGTAAACGTGAGGTCTTGGTGGTTGTAGTGGATTGAATAATGGCCCCTGGAAAGATACGTCCAAGCCTTACCCGCAGTGCCTGAGAATGGGACCCTATTTGGAAATAGAGTCTTAGCCGATGTAATCAAGTTGAGGATCTTAAGATGATATCATCCTGAATTTAGGGTGAGCCCTAAACCCAATGACTGGTGTCCTTATAAGAGAAAGGAGAGGGAGACCTGCCACACAGACAGACCCAGGGAGAAGGTCATGTGAGGAGCATGTGAAGATGGAGGCAGAGAGAGACTGGAGTGGTGCTGCCAGAAGCCAAGGAAGACTTGGAGCCTCCAGAAGCTGGAAGAGGCGAGGAAGGATTCTCCCCTGGAGCCTTCAGATGGAGCGTGGACTCGCTGACACCTTGACTTCAGACTTCTGGCCTCCAGAACACTGAGAGAAAAAATTTGCTGCTTTAAGCCGCCCAGTTGTGGTAATTTGTCACGGCAGCCGTAGGAAACTAATGCAGTGGCCCTGAGTTACTTTAATTATTTTACCGTTTCAGCTCATTTTAGAGCCTTCCATGGGCAAAATCCACCCCGTCAATGAGGATACCCAAAAAATTAGTAGTTGGTGCTGCAGAAGTGGCCTCATGAAGGTGGGAAATGACTTTCTCTAATTGACCAGAAAGCTTAATGACAAAGCCCAAGAGAGTAACAGGAGAAAAAGCCAAGGAATGCTGGGGTATGTGTGGGGCTGTTGGTGGTGGATACATCTTCTCCACTTGCGATATCTCCTCCATGTGGAAGCAGCGCTACTAGTATGACTGACTTGCCCTCTCTATGCCCTCCAGCCCATGAGCCTAGTCCAGAGGGGAACTTAATCTGACTGGTGAGTTTAGAAAGAGGAACTGGGCAAATGCAGCTAAGTGTCCCTACCCCCACCTTCTTGGGAGCTGCTCATCTGCAGAGAGCACACAGCTCAGGAATCAAGGTGATGATGTGGTCTTTCTAGGCTTTACTCTTCCATCTTATTGCTCTGTTGGTTCAAGATGTAGACAGAGAAAGGGGTGTTGTTCTTTGGTTCACCTTGAACACCAACACTTACCAGATTTTTTATTTCAGGCTTTAAGCTAGCTGATGTTTATTATTTATTACCCTACCATTTTATCCTATTTTGGTCTACCTATATTTATTCAATCTATATGTATATATTTATAACTGTCAGTGTGAAGCCACAGGAATGATAATAGCTGAGAGGCCACAACAAGAGGACAACGGCTGCCTCGCTATCTGCTGTCACTGCCTCTTGGCTCTCCCAATGCATCTGCAACTCCGAAAATGACAATTTTCCAAAGGCCCTTTTGACTTGTGAGATTTCAAAGATGGAGCGGTTAGTGCTCCCCAAAACCTTCGCCAGGAAGATGACACATCTTGTTTACTGTAAACTCAGTATTTTAAAAACCATGGTTTCTGGTTTACATAACCAGGAGGGAGCTAAAGAGGAGGCTGGCAAGAGGCAGCCAGGAGGGTACCACACAGGGGAGATCCCCTCACAGAGGGACCGTCCCTGTGATGTCACAGGCCAGACACGGTGAAGAACCAGGTGATGCAGAATCTCCCACGAGGTACCAGGGAGAAGGCCAGCAGGGAGCATCCTCAGCCTGGCTCCTGGTGGATTTACACCAATCTGCTTCCAACGACCTGTTGGAAAGAAAACTGGACTGTGTGCTCCTGCCTTAAAGCTCTCCCTCAGCATGGTTTCACATCCAGAAGTTTGTTCTACAACCTGCATCACGTCCTCTTAAAACGGTTTCTCCCCCTCCCCGAAATCCCAATCACCACACCAACTTTTCCTCTCATCTTCTCCTGACCTCTCAAATTCTACAAACTGTCCTCAGCTACCTGGCTATTCCTCTTTTCCTGTCTCCTGGGTCCTTTATTCCTAGGTCACTCCATGGAACTTTTTAATAGGAATTCCTGATTCCCACCAAACCCAAGGGATGCCTCATAACTGACTGAGCAAGTAACGGATCGCTCCATCTTTGAAGGCAGATGGGGAAATCAATATTGCCAACCAGCATCAGTTACTTCGTTTTCTTTCATACTTGTCACACTATTTATTTTCAAAGTGGTCTCCTTACCTTCCTGGCAGTGTCCAAGGAGGACATTTCTTGGATCAGAAGTCTCTGTCTGACCTGAAATTTCATGTCAATCTCAGTTTTTAAAAATTTGCTTCCCATTTTCCTTATTTACGCTTTGTAGAACACTGGACATTTTGTTCTCAATTTTCCTGACCCCATACACGAATTTGGGGATATTTGTTTCATGAAGTCTTTTGGTTTCTTTCTTGGTTTTCAAAAACAACAATAAAAATGCACTGCTCTGGGACATATTTAATGGAACAGCATTTAGCAATTTCATGGGAAATGCCGTGGAAGTCCCACTCTTGCTTTGATGGTAAACCAGAGACCCAGGCGAGGATCGAATGTCCAACTTGCTTTGCAGGATTCAGGGGCTTCTGTGTGTATCTTCCAGGATGAAGTTCACAATGGAAGAGCCAAAGAACAGAGCTGAGGAAACATCCTTCAAGCGAGAGCCACTGAACCATCCGAGCGAATGGGGAAGACAAAGACAGAAGTCAAAAGTGGCTTATGATGATTGCTTCTTGGTTTTGCTATTTGAAAAAAAGAAATAAACTTTTGATATTTTCACTGTTTAGGGGAAATGATACACATATTACATGCACATTAGAGAACATTTAGAAATTCCTTTCCCCATAAACACATGTATGGATAGATGGTGCCTCAGTAGGTAGCTAGCTGTTTCCACCCACACCATCAGCTTCCATGGCTTCAAGTATCAACCATATGCTGAGAAGTCACAAATCTAAATGTCCAACCAAGGCTGTCTTTCTGATTCTAGACCCACGGGCATTTCCAGCTCAAAACGTTCCAGGTGAAGCCATCATCTTGGCACAGGCTCTTCCCACTTAATATGTTTTCCTCTTCCTCTTCTGTTCCCAACATCAACGAATGACACTGCCACCACCCAACCACCCATGGCCCACGTCAGAAATCGGTGCTGGGCTTGACTCGTGTCTCCTCAGTACCCTACTCCTTAAGTCATTCACTAAGTCTATCAATTCTACCTCTCAAATCCATCTATCTTCTTCTATCTCCACTACCTCTTGTACCAGGTTAGGCCACCACGAGCTCTTACCTGGATTATTAAAAATACAGCCAGAGTAATCATTCTTAAAATCCAATCATATCACGTCATTGCTCTGCCAAATATTATACTAAGCAACCCACTGTGCCTCGGATAAAGTCCAAAACCCCATAGCATGGCACGTGTGACCTTCACTACTTGACCCCTGCCTACCTCTGTCCACTTACTTTTGCCAATTCCATTTGCACTTTGTGCCACAAATGTATTAGTCAGCATAGACTGGTTTATGCTGTGGTAACAAATAAATCAAAAATCTCAGAGGTTTAACAGATAAAGGTAGTTTCTTGTTCGTATCAATTCTAGTGTAAGTTGGACAACTCTCCGGGTCAGCTGTCCTTCATGGTATGGTTCAGCAATCCAGGATCCTTTATTTTATGGCTCTGCCATGTCAACACACAGCCTCTATGTCAACTGCCCAAGGGGAAGAGAGAGACTGGAGAAGCCACAGGAGCTTTTCACTGCCTCAACTAGGAAGCGAAGCACCGCACTTCTACTTTGTTTCATTGGCCAAAGTCACACGGCTCTGCCTAACTGCAAGAAGTCTGGGAATTGTAGCTCTCCAGGAGGATCCAGGAAGGAGGCGTATCAGAAGAGATTTGGCAAATATATAGCATTGTCTTTGCCACACCAAACATTTAAAAAACACGTGGTTGTTGAATTGGAACTTTCATCTGTAGGCCCTCACACGTTTTCCTCTTTGGCTGGAATTCGTACTTCACACCCAAACTTTCTCATGAATAATTCCTGCCCAGAACTATTTTTGTGAAGGAATGCATGGGAACGCCAGGCTAGAACCTCTTTCTCAGGATTATGAAAGCTGGAACAGTATCCTAGACACTGGCTTTTCACTTTCATCCACGAAATGAGATATAAATTATGTCCCTCTAAATTTGACTTTCAAATCAAATGAAAACATTTATTTATACAGATTTTCACATCTCCCTGTGTAATAAAAAGTAGGTTTAGATGGTTGGTTTTAAGTCAATGAGCAATCATCTCCCTAGTTCTGGATCTGATGTGTTACCCAGTCCGTCTCACAGTTGATACCACTGAGAACATATGGGAAAGACAAAGGAGATGAACAAGTCACACATCGACTATTTCTTAATTCTTCTTTTTTATATATCAAAGTCATAGACACTGTATTAACTATCTCTTGTTATGTAACAAAGTATCACAAACTCAGTGGCTTAAAACAACACACATTTACCATCTCACGGTTTCTGTAGTTCAGAAATCCAGGCACGATTCACTTGGCTCCTCTGTTTCAGGGTCTTTCACAAGACTGCAGTTAAAGTGTCAGCTGGGGCTGAGGTCTCATCTGAGGCTTGACTGGGGAAGGATGGCACTTTTAAGCTCATGTGGTTGTCGGCAGAATTCAGTTCTTTGCTGGCTGTCAGCTAGAGTTCCTCAGCTCCTCGCCACATATGTGTCTCTATCATGGAGGCTTACTTCATCAAGTCTAGCAAGGGAGAGAGTCTCCTGGCAAGAGGGAAATTACAATGTTAAATAATAACATAGTCAAAGAAGTGATGTTCCAACACCTTTGCCATATTCAATTGCTAGAAATAAGTCACAGGTCCTGTCTACACCCAAGGGGAGGGGATTATATAAAGGTGTGAATACCAGGAGACAGGGATCATTGGGGGCCCTCTTAGAATCTGTCAACCACAGATACCCTACAATGTTCCCTCAATTCCTTATTGGGCTGAAGGTGCACGCACACACACACACGTGTGAAAATGATGGAAGCGACCAGATAGGATTTGTTCTAGAATATGTGATAAATTTATTCATTCTTTCCTAGAGCTCCCTGCCAGCCATTTATATTATTTTAGAATGCTCATTTGGGATGGTAGATTGCTTTTTATTGGAGGAAAAGCCATAGAAGGAGAGTAGATTTTTTTTCCATTAAGATCCTGTGCTTGTACTTAGACTTTAGTTCTCAACTGAAATATCACTTCTCCCAAGAAATCTCCAACGCCCCCATGACTGAATTAGTTGCCATACGACCCAATGCTTTTTCTTTTTTAAAGATTATGGCACCTGAGCTAACAACTCTTGCCAATCTTCTTCCCCTTGCCCCCTGGTTTTTTCTCCCCTAAACCCCCCAGTACATAGTTGTATATTTTTAGTTGTAGGTCCACCCAATGCTTTTTTAGCTCCCTGTTTTTCCACCTCTGGGAGCATCTATCCCACTGTATCTCGTTTGCTCCTCCAGGAAGGGCTATATCTTATCATGCCCTTGTGTTCGTAGGACCTAGCTCGTGACTGATACCAGGTAGACTGTCAGCTAATATGTATTGCATTTCACCGCCTTGAACTGAACTGTTCTTTGGGCCTATAGCTGACCCGATGTGGATGGTGAGCTCTGAAGAACTTGGTTCCTCACGCTCCTCCACAGGATGTTTTTGCCTAAGTCTTGGTGAAGGCATAACTGGCTATCGAAACCCTCCCAAAGTTAAGTGGGTTTTGCAAAACTTAATACATAGAAATGTTTTTATTGAACTTCTATTTGAAAAAAGACATTTTCCAAGTATCCCTTTGTGGTGTTTCCAATCCAAATATTGCAGAGCTGACATTCAGGAGCACGTCGGGGAGCAGACTAAACAGGTGGGTCTCCGTTTGTGGTGTAGGGCGAGTGACACGCAGTGCAGGCCTGGAGCACACGCTTTTGTGCACAACTGGTCTTGACAGTCTGTAAGAAAACTGACATCACGCTTTTAAACAATAAAGTGTACAGTGTTTAGAGTAATACAGTTTCTTACTTTGCACCCTGTTCTTTTCGTTCGAGTCAGTCCATTCTGGAATAAAACCTTGGTCTCCTGGAGTTGTCAGAGATGATGTTCTAGAGGTGAATTTTGCAGAAAGCTAAGGGGGACTAGTTAAAGAAACATATAGGGCTTGGTTTTGTTTTCTTTTTCTTAAATTTAGCCCTTTTGTGAGTATTTTTCTAAAATGTAGCACGTACTTCCATAAATCCATGAACAGAATCTAATGAGCAAAGGTGTTTGTAGACAACCCGGATTCTTGAACACAAACACAGTACTGTGCAAGGACACGGTGATCCTGTCAGGCTCCACAGAGGTGAGCACAACTGTAGCTGACTACAGTGCTTTTTACTTCTATTGTGCCTTTTACAGTTTTTGTGTAGCACCTTATGCTGCTGGCGTGCCTTTTCTTAGCAGGCATTCTGTCCCTTTCTAATTTACAGCCTCTAATTTACTCTTGAAAACTAGATGAACCGACACGTTAGAACGAGGTGCAAAGTAAGAATCAGTAGTCCTGAGTGAGACCTAAGTGTTTGCTTATATGCAGTATGGTTAAATGTGTGATGTCAGTTGGATGCTCAGAGGCCTTTGCTGTTCTGGTTGTGGTGAGACTAAGAGAGACTGGCTAGAGGTGAGTTCTAGATTAGGGAGGCATTGCTATATTATACAAGCAAAGCATAACAATCTCAGAAGGTACATTGAAAGAACCTCTTGGAATTTTATACTTTCACAATATAATGGAGAAAGTTAATGCTCAGAGAAGCGAAGTGACTTACCCAGAATCCCCCAGTTTGTGGCCAAGGCTGGACCGGTAGTGAGTTTTCTGACTATAGCTCCAGTGTTCTCTACACTCATCTTCTGCCTCTGAGCAGAAGACAAGGGTCTTGTCAAGGGCAGAGTGAGATGAGTTCAAAGGCACTGGCAAATCCCTTCTCCAGGGTATCTATGTTATGCTTATGCTCCACAGTGGAGTCTGTCAGGACACATGCATGTGATATGTGCAGGATTATCAGGATATGAGACGCACACAAAACTGAGTCAGGTCAGCCACCTTCCCAGCCCTGGAGGCCAGATGGCAACCAGGCTCAGGTTTGGACCTGGAGAGTTTGCTGGCCCTGGAAAAGGTCACCAAATCCCAACTCGGTTTCTTAGTAGCACTTTAGGGGACTCTAGCCCTCCTCCACTTCACCCCCAAAGATTTGGAGCTTTCTAGAAAGAGTCAGTGCAACACCACCCCCAGCCTCCTGACAGACATTTTGATTGGCTCAGTCCTCCAGTGCAGTAGCGGTCCTAATCCCCAAGTCCTGACCTGAAATCATGGCTCTGGCACCTCCACAAAGTCATGAAATCACGGATCTGGCACCCCGAGATGCTCCTTGGGAATCTCAGCACAGGAGGAGAGGAGAACCAAGAAGGAGAGTGCACCAAAGCACAGAGAGCCCTCACCAAGTAGGACACCTCCTGTCATACCTCTTCCCAAGGGCTTTATTCACTTACGAGGCAGAAGAGCCACCAGATGAAGACCTGGACACATTCTATAAAGCAAATTTCTGTTCCAAAGGAGGACCTCACTCTGGACAGGCAAACGTCCACCACCAGCAGCTGAGCAAGCTTCCTGTGTGGGGTTGGGGACATCCGAGAAGACAGAGAGTGGATGCTGTTGGCATGGGAGCCCTGTCCAGACTCTTGTTATTGGCAGGTACATGCACCCTTCAGCTTACACAAGTGTGCCCGCCAAGGGTGAGACCTTCTCCTGTCTTTGGCTTATGGGAGCCACCTTGGAGCTTACACCATCACCCAGCTCCAGGAGTGGCTATGACTGACTGGCAGTGGGTACAGCAACCTGGTCCCCTTGTCTCAAGACAGGGCAACTCTGTGGTGTAGCCTTTGCTCCAGGGTCTCAGAGGATCAGGCGAAGGCTAGACCTGACCTGGGGCACAGGCTTGCTCTGCTCTTGCCCCTACCCTAGCCTGCTTCCCTTACTTCCTTACAGGTTTTTCCTGGGAGAGCATGCCCTCAGAATCCCACACCCCTGAGACACCATGCTCCCCCAATGTCCCTGCCTGTCAGCTCCCGGTGGCCTTGGCTGAGAGTGTGTCCTCCGTGCTACGGTCAGTCACCTGTAACTTCCCCAGGCCTGGCCTCCGAGTCCTCCTTTCTCCCAGCCTCCAGCACATTCTTCTTGGTGTGCTCCCCAAGTCCACCTCATGAGTCTGCAACCAGAAAGAGCAAGTCCGCATCAAGAAAAAATTCAGGCCGATGCCCTGAAGTGATGTCCCCTCTCTCTTAGGGTAACATACACCTGCACCCCAACACCAGCACCACCGTTAGTCACTTCCCTGGTCCGTTCTGTCTCTCTCTCATACACATGGTGCCTCGTTGTGCTTGTCTGGTTGGGGTCAGCAGGCAGTGCTGGAATGAGGCGTAGAAATCTCTGAAACTCACCCAGGGAAGAAGCAGATCCTGAGACAATGGAAACTGGGAACTCAAGAAGATGGATCTTAGGGGAGAAACAACTGGTTTGTTAGCCCTCTCGGAGTTGAGAGGCACCACCCTTCTGCCCAGGATTCTCATGGAAGGAGTAATCCAGGAGCTAGGCAGGGAGGGGCCTGAACCCCCTAGAGACAGCCTGTGTGGGTAGCTGCACCCAGTAGCCCAATTAGCCAGACTGGACTTTTTGGGGTTCCTTCTCTTCTATTCTTCCCACTCCCCAATCTTCCCCCACCTCCACGCCTTTGGCGATGTCAGAATGTTTAAACACTTTGGCCAGGCCTCAGGGCAAAGGGTGAAGCGTGGGAGGGGAGCAGTGGGTGGGCCACTGAGGCAAGGCTCTGTGTCTGCACTTGGGCTGAGGGATGAAGGACAGTTCCACCGGGGTAGTTAGGTGGTGAATCTGCAGACAGGATCCCTGAGGTCCAGCCAGCCCTCTCCAAGTGGAGTCTTTGTCATCCTTGGTCACGGTGCCTTAGCCACACACGTAGGATTGCTTGATCTTCTAGGGTGAAAGGAAGGCAGAGCTATTATCGGAGTATTGGTGATGCTTTCTGCTTTTCACTCCTGATCACCTATTCCTTGAGAGGCTGGCCTGGTACTAAATGGAATCTGTAGGAGAGGAAAGCTCACCCTCCATACTTGATGTGGGGTGTCCCTGGAGGCTGGCTCAGGAGTCAAAAGTGCCCAAGGGAAAACGCAACAGGAAGTCCTGCTGAGCCATTAAAACCTTAGAGCAGAGCAGCTCAGATGTTCCCAAGAAACCCCCCACCCCCGGGGCCGCCTCAGGGCCTTCCCGGGTTTCAGGCACCGGAGCTCAGCTCAACACAGCTGCCACTGCACAAGCAGAATGTCTCTTTGAATTCTCCATTTCATCTTGAATATTCATGTGATTTTTGCAATAGACTCCATGACACATCAGGGCTTGTTTTAGAACCTAAGGATGAGAGAAGTGGCACCGTCTAGCTGCTAAGCACATGTGGGGGTCAAGCCTTTCCACGTCAGTCTCCTTTGCAAAATGGAATAAAAATAATACCTACCCTGGAGGCTGGTGTGATGACTGAGTTAAGACAATCGAGTGCCTTGGAACAGCATCTGGGGCATCGTAAGTGTTCTGAAACGTTAACATCATTATTCCTCTCCTGATACCCTGATATGAGAACCACATGCAGTCCATCACCATTATTTGCAGATTCCGTATTTGTGAATTCATCTGCTTGCTAACATTTATTTGCAACCCCCAAATCAATACTTGCAACCCTTCAGTGGTGGTGATTCGAAGAGGGGTGAAAAGTTTTAGTCACCTGATATGAAGTCCCAGCCAAGGTCAAACAAGGCAACACTCTGCCTTCTTGTTTCAGACTTCATGCTGTAAACCAGTGTCCTCTTAGGGTCTCTTTAGTGCCACTTTTCACATTTCTGTCCGTGTTTGTGATTTCGCTGTTTAAGATGGCCCCCTAGAACAGCAGTGAAGTGCTGTCTAGGTTCCTGAGCAGAAGGCAGCTGTGACGCGCCAGGTGGAGAAAACTCCTGTGTTAGGTAAGACGCCTGTGTTTGAGAACTTCACCCAGGCATAAGACATAGTGCGGTGGCTGTGGGTTCAACACCAGTAAATCAACAATAGATGTTAAATAAGATGTTTTTAAAGAGAAACACACATAAAATGTTATTGATGGGTGGCAAAAATGGGACTAGAGGCTGGCAGGAGCCTGACCCCGTCCTTCCTGGAAGAGCAATGTATTCCCACATTCATCGTTCCGCTGACTTGGGAAGGATGTAACTAAGGCGAATAAGGAGACCCGCGTACACAGGTGCATTCTTTCTGGTTTAGCCCCGCCATCCCTGCCCCTTGCTGACTCGTCTCCTCCCGCCTCCTGCCTCCCTCAAACTGAACGTCCTCTGCTCACCTCCCGCAAGACTCCGGCCATTTTACATGGAGCGGAGAGGCGGTTTTGGAGATCTTCCTCCCGGTGCAGGAAGTCACCAGAGTAAGGATGGGAAGACAGGCAAGGAAGGCAGGCAGGGCCAGCGCCTCGTGGGGAAGCTCCAACGCCACACGGAAGGTACCAACCGCGGAGCCCACGGGCGAGCAATCCAGGGACGAGCAACCGAGGCTCTAGAGAAGAAACACGGCCTCCGGTCCTGGCCTTGCACCTCGCGACGCGAAAGTCATTTATCCCCTGAGCCTCGCTTCCTTATCGGTGAAATGGGAACAATGCTACTAATGGCGCCACCGGGCCCTGGTGAAGATGAGCTGCGCGTAAAGAGATCGGCACAGGGCTGGCGCCCACTGGGCACTCAAGGAGACGATGGCTGTGGCGGTACTTCGGTGGGGGCGAAAAGCAGACTTCCGCGCAATCCTCCGGCCCTTGGCTTCAAACCGCTGAGACTGGGCCCAAGCCAGGGACAACATCTCGCCTTACTTCTCCTCATCTCCACAGGTCCACAAGGAAATTCACCCCACTGCCCGGTCCCTGACACCGCCACGCCACCCCGAGTCCCAGGCCTGGGCACCCCATGGTTTGGACAGCTGCGGAGCTCGCTGTTTGTTCCCCAGGCCTGGCTCATATGAAGCGGCACCAGGTACCCGGCTAAGGGGTGCCCCTCCTCCGTCGCTCGTGGTCCCTGGCAGCCAAACGTCCGGGCGCCGAGCGAGCCCACTGGAGTCCCGCGGGCCCTCGGTCTCCGACTTCGGTCACGCCTGGCCAGGAGCGCCCGAGGCTCGCAGGCACGAGCCAGGGGCTCCAGGCAAACCTCCGTGGGGCCGCCGGGCCTGCCTTCGCAGCGTCGGCGCCCGGGGCGGGCCGGGAGGGTAGAGGCTCGGGGAGGTCGGGTTGGGGGGCGACAGCATCCATGCTCGCGGCTCCGGCCGAGGCGGGGCGCCCGGACGCCCTCCCCAGCGCGCCCGCCGGCGGCGGCGGTGGCGGCGGCGGCAATCCCGGCTCTTGGCACCGCGCCTGGCGGCCGGCCCAGCGCGAGGAGTGGCTTCCAGGAAGCGGGCGGAGGAGCGTTCCAGCCGAGTCTCGCCGTCGCCGCGGCCCCGCGCGCTCCGAGCGGCCCGGGCCGGCCCTGCCCCCGCTCTCCCGCACCCCGGGGCCCCCTGCTCGGGCCGAGGGCGCGGGGCGGGCGCCGGGCGCGCTGTGCACTTGCCGGGCGGTGCAGGTGGCGGCGCGCGCCCTCCGCCTCTGGGTCCCGGCCAGCGCTGCGCTCCGCGCGCCCGGAGGGGCGGGAGAGGCGGGGCGGCCCCCGTCCCAGCCCCATTTAACTTCGCGGCGGCGGCGGCGCCGCGGGCTGGAGGCCGGCGTCGGGGAAGGTCCTACTCTCGGATTCCGCACGAGGTGTGGACGCGGCCGTCTCTGTTGCCCCTCTCCAGCGCGCGCCTAACCCGCGCGTCTTGGACCGCACGTCCCGGACGCTCCTGCGGCGCAAGGTGGGTGCTGCGGGCTCGGCACAGGGGGCGAGGAAAGGCTCTCCCCGGGGGAGTAAGATGTGAGCAGGGGCGTCTAAGCAGGGTTGAGGACTCCGAGAGGGAGGAGGGGACTGCGCGGGCCCCCGGGGGCTCCGGGACGGGGGCGCTCGCCACGGCGTGGAGACCTCTCTGGGGGCACGCTCCCTGGGGTCCTGGAGGGTTCGGGGAGAGACATTCCGGGCTCTGCGCGGGCAGAGGGGCGCTCCTGATTGTGGGGCGACTCCAGAGGGCTGGGGGTGTTCAGGTGTGGGGGGTTTCTGGGAAGAAAACGGGCTGACGGCAGCTCATAGCCTTGGGCGTCGGGAAGTCTGGCAGGTTGGCAAGTGGGTCGCGAGCGCCGAGAGCGCCAAGGGCCGAAGCGACGCGCCCGCCGTGGAAAGTGGGTGCCGGGGGAGCGGCGCGCGGCGGGTCGTCGGAGGCGCGCGCGCCAGGACCGCTGGTGCCGGCGAGCGAGGGGCGCGCGGTTCCAGGGACCCGCACTGGCCGCCTCCCTGCAGCCCAGAGTCGCCGCCTCAGGTCGGAAACAGCAGCACATTTGCGGATCGCATTAGGCCAGGCCCTTAATGCTTTCTCCAGATGGAGAGAAGCCACCGACCCGCCCCCGGACACCGGCTCCGCCAAGGCGCCCGCGAGGCGAAGCGAGAGGCGAGTGTGACCTCGGCTTTTCCAGTCTCACTCGAAGTGATTTCCCTGCAAATTGTCGGGAGAACTCTGAAGAACTTCCGCCAGCCCTCCTTGGCTCAGAGGGCCTCTGCTGGTTCGCCCTCACCTGCTTTTAGGAGATTGTGGTCGGCTGGCTCTGAGGCTTCCAGCCTTCCTTGACTCTGCCTGCAGGTCTGGGGCTCCAGGGCGAACGGTGTCATCTCCTGGGGAAGGCTTTCCGGTCCTAGAATGGTCACTATCTTGCTGCGTGACCTTAGGCAGGTCCCATCCCCTCTCTGGCCTGGCATAGTTGGCCTGAGTCTCATTTTGGCCTGAAGTGGCAGAAGCTGGCAGGTGCCCTAAGCCTTGGCTGCATGCTGGCTTCCTGAGTCGGGTGCCAGTAGCCACACCCTGCTGCTGACAGATGGACTGGGAAGTGGCTGGTGCAGAGATGTCTCAGCTTCTGCAGGGCTGCAGGTGAGGGCTGCACACTGGAGGCGAGTCTAGCTGCCTTCCTGACCTTGAGGCGGACCCATCCTAAAGATAGCCCCGGACAGCCTGTACCCTGGAGTGGGTAGCCCCATCCTGGACCAGTGCAGACCTTTCAAAGATGTTGTATGGGGTTCAGGGCCCCTCCCTCTGATTGGTCTGTTAAATCATGGGTGCTGCTACTGGAGTCAGAGCTGGTTGGAAACTAACTCCTCTTTTGTGGGCTACAGGTGAGACCCCCAGCATCCGGGACCCCATGGCTTCCTGGAAGAGCCCCTGCTGGCTGCTGATGTGGATGGTCTTCACGCACTCTGCCCTTCTGCAGGTAATAGGGAGGGGAGAAGAACGGGAGGCAGACACCTGTTTACTGAGGAGCGTTATTCCAGATCACCTAAGATGTGCTATTGTTACGGTTAATCCTATGCCAAAGAGAATCTGTTTTTGTCTCTTACCTCCAGCAAAGGGTATTTCTGGTTGCTTTAGCTGTAAGGATGGTCCAGTTGCTTGAGTCCTCTCTGAGTCCTGAGCAGGGCCTTGTTGCCGCTGTGCAGACTCTGCACCAGTGATGACCAGGGTTGTGATGGACCCTGTCTTTTCAGTCTCGAATGGCTGTCAGCATGTGCCTAGAAGAGACTGGACTCCTGGAGGCCAGGACACGAGGGATGGGCAGAGCCCAGGTTCTGGCCTTTGCTCAGCCACTGAATAAGTATTCTGAGTTTATGTTTATCAACACATATCATACTATTTTACAGTTTTTTATTTAGACTCTTGTCGTTCCCACCAGCCTGGGGGGGGGGGGGGGGTGGGTACCCAGCTCATGCACTGCATCCTCATTTGCTGACAGGGCAGACTGAAACAAAGGAGTGAAGCTAGCATTGCCTGTGAGACAATAGGGAATGGTGGAGACAGTGGCAAAGACGCTGGTACATGCTCCATCTATTAAGAGCAGCCTCTACTCAACTCTAGCTGATCTCTGCCAAGTGAGAATGCAAACCCAGGATTGCTAGATCTTCCTGTTTTTCAGGATAGCTGGATCATCCAGATTTCCTATGATCGCTCAGTTTTTAAAGCACTTAAAGCCAGACAAATATGTCTGTAGCCTGGGTTCAGCCAAGCCACTTGTAGTCCTCAATCTAAAGGCGCAGAGCACATCTGAGTCAGTGTTGTGTCCCGAGGCTCTGCCCGTCCAGTGCCTTGTGTGACTTAGAACGTGCTAGCCCTTGTGGCATCTTGTGTGATTGAGAGCAAGGCCACCCCTTCCTGCAGACGTAATTTCGCAGACACTTGGCTTGGTGGCCAGGGTACCCTCAGGGTCTAGCAGAGGGCCTGGCAGTCAGTCCGGGCTTGAAGGTCTGTTAAATGGGCAGGCATGTGCGTATAAAGGGCTATGCCCTGGGGTGGGTTGATGTGACTGCTCTGTCCCTCATTTCACTCTCCTGTCCTTAGTGTTTCAAAGGCCTCTTTCAGCTCCAAAGCCCCAAGATTTTTGTGACTCATGCAGGACTAGTTAGTGATGTACATCTTTTCCGTCGTTACCCATTTTATTGATGCTGCCATCATCACATTCTAATAGATATCTTCTGTTAGAACAAAAGTTAAGTGTTTTCACAGTGATTTTAGGGTTTTTCTGGTCAGCAAGGTGTTGTGTTGTGATAAAAGGATGGAGACCTGTTTTTCCATCCTATCAGCTGATCTGAGACGGACTCTCAGAGCCTCAGAGATTTGTTCCTGGTCAAATGGGGCTGAGGCTTCAAAGTCGGGGGTTTTGGTTTATCTTCTTTCACCCCATAAAATTTAAAAGTGCTTTGAGACAGTCTGTTGACCTTTGGCCAAGGGTGGTGTGTGCCCAGCTTGGATCACTCACTGACCTCTTTTGGATTTTTCCATATCTTTGTGGCTCTGGCAGTGTTGTTTCCGTGTATCAGGCAGCGTGCACACAAGGTCGTGAAAGGAGATTGCAGGCCAGCAGTCTTGATCAGCCACACCATCCGCTGTTCGAATCCCAGCTCTACCACTTCTTTACCTGTCACCCAACCGTCTCTGTGTCTCAGTTTCCACATCTGCAGAGAGGGGGCGTCTGCCTCATAGACTTGTTTGCAAAAGTGAATCGTTGGGAACTGGAAAAAGTAACTAGCAGAACCAAGCAAAAGCAGTGTCTGGCACAAAGTAACTGCACAGTAAATGTTAGAGCTCTGTTGTTGCCATTGCTTGTTAATATTAACAGTTGGAAACAAACCTGGTGCCTGTAATTCTGCTGTGGGACTGTAGGGGGCACTCAGGAGGCATCAGCTGAGGAGAGAAGATGCTGCAGAGACTGGAAGGAGGTGGGGCCTAATCTTCTCTGGGCAGTTACTGCAGGTGTCACTGTCATTGGCCAGGGCAGTCATACCACAGGCCCCAGAAGCCTATTCTGATAAAGAGTAGGTCAGGCCTGGGGCCCTGCCCATGGGTTGGACGCTTGGTTATCTCCCTGGGGTCATCATGGGTTTGATTCAAAGCTGCCCCTCTGAGGTATCTTGGGATTTTGGTGTTGGGGGGCCCTTAAGGTGTTCTTCAGTCCCTCCCTTTGCCTTATAAGTGCTGCCACCAAGTGGCTGGTAGAGAATTAATAGTCCTGTGAGGCTGAGCCGCAGGGACCGTGGGATGTGCCAACTAATTTTATAAAAGCTAGATTCTCTTTGTTAAATCAGCTAAAACTGAAACTCTAATATTCCCTGACTGCAAGTAATTGTGATAGATTGCAGGGCAAGCCATGAGGTCGGCTGGCTGGTGTTTTTCTGACTCGTTCTTGACCGCTTCTGGAGGAGCTCACTGTTTCCCTCACCCAGACGGCTGCAAAGGCCGCCCATCTTCCCATCTCACAGGCCCTGGAAGCTTCCCGATGCTCTGGGCCCTCTCCTTAGGGACCCCGATCTTCCCTCATCGAGGAACAGCTGCTACGGTTCCAACTGTCTCTTCCAGCCTTCTTCTTTGAGAAGTCTTGACTCAGTGGGGTATAAACACGGAGCCAACCGCCAGCTCCAACCGTGCTTTGTCAAATCCATTCCATTTCCATCTTTAATGAAATCTTGGGCACATTCATTTTCATTTCATTTCAACTTAAAATTTCCATTCCCCACTTGATTTAAACCTCACCTTCCTTCTGTCTAGTCTAGGCTCGACACGTGGCTCTGGGTCCCTGAAGTGGGGTCATGCTGTGGTCCAGTCTCTTCTCACCTCAGCCGGTGGTGAGGCCTGGTTCTGGGTACTTCTTCCTTTTCAGTATTCCGGGTCCAGCTTTCCTGGGGTTGGAAACAAGGAGAGGGGGCAGGGAGAAGGGCAAACAGCTCTTTGCTTAACTGGATGCCTCTCTCTGGTAGTTGCTGCTGCCTCTCCGGCTCTGCCTGACCCTTCTGCCCTCTGGGTCACACATGTGAGCTCTTCAGAGGGCTCCGCAGGACCCACCTTTCCTGTAGCAGGAGGGCCAGCTCTGGCTTGCCTCCTGCTGCTGGGGTCTTCTTGTCTAGCAGGCAGCCCTGTTGGGTGGGGTGCTGGCAGGATGGCTTAAACCCAGCTGCCTTTGGTGTCACCCACTAGATCCATAGGAAAGGCACGCCTCCTTGCTGTGCAGACAGTGGGGGTATAGCGTTCTCCAGCGCTGCCTCCTCCCTCTGTCCTGCCAACTCCCTTCGGTTCTCCATTCCTTGCTCTGGCAGGCCCAGGGGCAGATCCACAGATCCAGTCTAAGCAGATGTCCGTCTGGGGAGTGGAGCACCAGTCTCCCCTTGCAGGTGCTCCTGTCTCTATGAGTGATTCTTGTTTTCTTCAATGCATCTCAGTCTTCCTCCTTAGAGACCTGGGAGGGAGGGAGGTGGTGGCTGGTTATAAAGGTCTTGTCATTCCCCTTCTTGGAGAGCTGTAAGGGAGATGTCCGCCTTACATTGGTAGCTCTCTGTAGAGTATGGGGTACTTATTTCCTTCTCGTCGTCAGCTTTGGCCCCTGTAATCCAGTGTTTTAGCATTGGGAAAGGTCCCATTGAAGATGTGGATGCTAAAATTAGACATGTTGGCTCTAGCCTTGGGCTAATGCTAGTCTTGGCGGGAGTTCTGCCCGCAGTGGTTCTGATTTCAGCAGTTCTGGTCTGATGTTTTAAGTATTGTTGTTTTAGGCGGTTCTGGTCTCAGTGGTTCTCTCTGGTGTTGTTTCTGGTCTTAGTCAATCATTCTGGTTTCATCAGTTCTGGTATTGAGGGTGGTTCTGGTTTCAGTGATTCTGGATATTTTGGTGGTCCTGGTCTTGATGGCATTTTTGTCTCGGTGACTGTCAACTTGCTGGAGGCTCTGGTATCAGCAGTTCTTGTCTTGGGGTTGGCCCTGGCCCGGGGCAGTTCTCCCCCTCTGACACCACAGACATTCATCCCAAACTTTAGCATTCACTCAATCTCCTTTAAATCAGGAAGCAGAATCCAAGCTCAGTGGTTGTTGTGAGGTTCAGAAATGCTCCGTCTCCTCCAAGCCATTCTTCTGACCCAGGAGAAGGGGGGTGGCAGACTCAATCCAAGATGGTAGCGTGTGAACTGGGCCCTACACGAGCGATGGTTAGAGGTCCACAAGCACTTGTATTGACCCTTTGCAATAGCTTCTTATGATACCAATTAATTCACGGTGGGATCTTTTTTTTTTTTTTTCCATCCTTTTCATCTGTTTCTCTCTTTACTCTCATATGCACGATCTCTGTATTTTCTGCCCATCCTTCCTCAGGACTCCCCAGCCAAGTTCTGTGGCACTTTTCCTGCTGTTCCCTATCCAAAGAGGAGGTTTAAGAGAATGACAGTTAGTTGATTGAGCTCATTGCCAATGCTTGACATTCCATGTCTAGAGGCACTGGCTTCTAGCAGATAAATTATGCAAATAAGACATTTAAATTGTAGAAAAATAGAAGAGACAGATCAATGAAAAGGAAAATCAAAATAAAAAATTTGCCTTATCACCCAGATAAGTATTAACAATTTCATGTATAATCTTCCAGACTTTTACTGTGCATAAATATGATGTAAATCTATGTGTATGTTTTGATAAATGGGATCATGCTGAACGTGCTATTTTAGACGTCATTTTTTCCAGAGAGCATATCGCGAACATCTTTCCATGTCAATGCATATACGACTGTGTTTTCATTTGTAACGGCTGTGTTCATTGTACTAATGGATATACCACAATACCGTAATTTGCTTACACAGGTTATTTCTTCCCTGGATATTTAGGTTGTTTCCAGGATGGTTTGTTCACTTGTGTCTGCTGTCAGCCACCTGTAATAAACGTCTTATGCTCACTTATTTGAATATT